TTTTTAGATTTCCTTCTGTTAGGTCACCCTGAGATGGCTTTTAAATACTCACAAAGTGTTTGACACTCTTCAAAAGGTAGCACCTAACTCCCCTTGTCTTGAATGTGAACTGGACCTAGAGGCTCCCTTCTAATAAATAGAAGGTGGTGAAAGTGACAATGTATGACTTCTGAAGTTAGGCCAGAAAAGGCACAGCAGCTTTTGCCCTGTGCTCTCTTGGATGATTCACTCTAGGAGAAGCCAGCTGCTATGTCACCAGGATGCTCAAGCATCCTTGTGAAGATGCCCATGTGTAGACAAACTGAGGCCTCATGCTAGCTGCCAGCACCAACTTGCCAGCCACATGAGTGGGCCTCTTGGAAGTCACCCTCCGGCCCCAGTCAAGTCTTCAGATGACTGCAATCCTGGCCAATGGAACTTGACCTCAAGAACAACTTGACTGAATCAGAAGCACCAAGTCAAGATGACTCCCAAATTCCTTTGAGAGATAACAAGCGCTTATCAATGTTTTAGGTTGTTAAGAGGAAAGGAGCTGGAGAGAAAGGGCAGGAGGAGAAGATTTCTGCTTCCCTGTTCTAGCGTACTTGTTGGGCAGGTTCCTTCAGCACCAACGGTTTCACCAGTGCCCAGGTCCTGGAGTGGCCAGCAAAACCCGGTGACCAGCAGGTCCTCCTGGCACTGCCTCTCGGGCAGCAGTGTCAGCAGAGTGCCTCCACCTCCTGCAGCTTCTCCAGCATCCAGTACCTGCTGGGCACGTGGCTTCTCCAGCCGGAGGTTCCTGCAGCATTCATGGGTTCTCCTGTTCCCAGGAGCGGGGGCTCCTGTTCCCTGCCCAGGCAGTCTTGTTGTGGGCTGAGCGCCTTTGGCTCAACACATCCCTGAGAAGAGCTCTCCCTGGCATCTAAGAAGGCAGACTTCTGCAAGTGCCCCTAGCATGACACCAACGTGACCTTCCTGCTATCCCGCAAGCCACAGACTCTTCTCTTCAACAGGATCTAGATGTCAACCGTGAGGTAGGAGGCAGGTATCACTTCCTGGAATGCTCTGTTTCAGCCTTAGTCTTGGGCGTAAGGGCTGCTGCTGTGTCTGCATTTATGTATTTAGAGTCCTCTTTACTCCTTACTGGGCTTCCATGGTGGCTCAGACCGTAAAGAATCCGCCTGCAATGCAGGAGACGGGAGTTCGATCCCTGGGTCAGGAAGATCCCCTGGAGAAGGGCAGGGCTCCCCACTCCAGTATTCTTGCCTGGAGAATTCCATGGACAGAGGAGCCTGGAGGGCTACAGTCCATGGGGTCACAAAGAGTCAGACACGACTGAGCGACCAACACGTTCACTTTACTCCTAACTAACCAATTCTTTATTTCTTATAACAGGGGATTGGACTAACAATTATTTTTAAATCTCCCTGTTCAAATTATGGTGTGGTTTCTCTCCCTTGATTGGACTCAGACTGATACACTAAGTTTTGCCATAATTTGTTATGCAGCAACCAATAACCAACACAGCACACCCCATGTCATTGTCCACTGCCAGCTCTCCTTTCATTACCATCGGCTAATTGTTACCATGTGCCTGCCCAGAGCAGGCTTTTCCTTCAAGGCTTTTATAAGCAGTCAGATAGGACCTACTGCAAAAAGAACAAAATTTATAAGACCCAAGCTTTAATTTGCCAAATGCCACATGAGAGACTCAGATGAGAAGTGCTGCTGGAAGCCCCAAAAGCAGATACAGTTGAAGAAAACTCTAGACTACCACAGGTCATGGGGACAAAGCCCATGGGAAAGCAGGAAGCCAAGCCCTGTAGGCAGGGAGAGGTTTGCATCAAAACCTCGGGGGCAAGACTAAACATGACAGGATTAGGTCAGCTGTGACTTGTTAGCTCCAGTTTGACTAGTGAAGAGTGCTGACATGCTTGGCTAGTGGCAGGCAGGATGAACAGATGCTGAAGGGCCTTAAATGCAAACCGAATTCATTTGGTGCTATTATGTAGCAAAGGGCTCCAGTGACCAGACCTTCCAGGACAAAATCCTGTCTGCTTTTCATGTGGGCACACTTGCACTTGTCAGATCAGGTGACTTAGCTTTGGGGCGGAGAAAAGTTCACTTTGGTGGTGGGGAACCTCTGAAGGTTTTTGAGGATGGTGCAATGTGGGGTTTTGATCTTTTTTTAAAAAAATTTTTGGCCATGCCACATCGCATCACATGTGGGATCTTAGTTCCCTGACCAGGGATCAAACTCATGCCCGCAGCAGTGGAAGCACAGAGTCTTAACCACTGCACTGCCAGGTAAGTCCCAGTGTGGGATTCTAAGATTAGTTTGCAGTGTGTAGGACTGGAGGATGGAGGACAGAAATAGGAGAATGACTTCCCAGAAGTCCTGACGTGGGGGAGAATAGAGCAGTGGGAATTGGCGCATGTGATGGGGAAGAGAATTTAAGGTGACTCCCCATACCTTGCTGGTGACATGGGAACATGGGGGAGCTGGCAGAGAGGGGGGTAGGATGATGCTGGCATTTGACAAGTTCCATTGTCAAGTAGCCAAGTAGCAGGGGGGAGCAGCCTAAGTCCTGAGCTCAGGAGAAAGATGAGAGCTGGCGATTCAGATCTGGTAGTGACTGTTCACCCAGAGATGCTGATCAAACTTGGGGAGATGGTGAGGAGGGTGGTCCCTTAGTAAGAACTGGCTCTCTTGGTGAAAAAGTAGGTGGATAAAATGAAATCAATCTTGCATCAATGGTTGCTGAGCCCCTGGAAGAGTGTCCACAAAGGTTTCTACTTTCCCACATGTTTTGCAAGTTTTCATAATAAAACATTTTTAAAAATCTGGCTCTCTGATCAGCATATCTTAACCTATACCCTTCCACCCACCATCCATCCACTCAAGTAATGGGGTCTTGGATCAGGCAAACAGTGGGGACAGATTTGCTCGTAGTTCAGTCCTAAACTGGCCTCTAAAATCCAGAAGCATTGAGGTCTTTCTCAACTGCCACAGACTCTGACTTAGAATCCACGGTCTCCTCTCACAGGGCGCAAGCCAAAGAATATGAAAGAAAAAGCCCAGTAAAAATTAGGAGGTTCCACTCCTATTTCTGCCCCAGACCAGTCATGTGACCTTGAGCAAGTCACTTTTCCTGCCCCTCCACCCCCTCAGCTGACTTCTCAGGAGCATGTGGTAAGAAAAAGAAATAACTGTGGCCATTTTTAAGCCCTGAGATTTGGCAGTTGCTGTTACTGTTGTGTAGCCCAGCCCATTCTGAGTAATCCAGGGCTATCCTGTCTACAATGCCAGTCTCTCGCACTGATTATCTTTGGCCTCAGTCCCTAAACCCACCCTCTCCCTGAAACTCCCTGAAAGCATTGGCTCCACATTCAAATTTAAAAGCAGCAAGACACGGGGAGGGATAAATTGGGAGATTGGGATTGAGACGTACACACACTACTATATACACAACAGGTAACTAATAAGAACTCACTGTATAGCAGAGATCTCTACTCGGGTCTCTGTAATGACCTACATGCGCTCAAACAATGGGCAGAAGACCTAAACAGACATTTCTACAAAGAAGATGCACAGATGGCCAACATGTACATGAAAAGATGTTCAATGTTGCTAATTATTAGAGATAGGCAAATCAAAACCACAATGAGATATCACCTCACACCAGTCAGAATGGCTATCATCAAAAAATCCACAAACAGTAAATGTTCGAGAGGCTGTGGAGATAAGGGAACGCTCCTGCAGCGCTGGTGGGAATGTAAATTGGTGTAGCCACCATGGAGAACAGTATGGAGATTCCTTAAAAAAAGACTAAAAACAGTTCTGCTATATGAGCCTGCAATCCCACTCCTGAGCATATATTGGGAGAAAAGCATGATCTGAAAGGATACATGCACCTGTGTTCATTGCAGCACTGTTTACAATAGCCAAGACATGGAAGCAGCCTAAACGCCCATCAACAGAACGGATAAAGAAGATGTGGTCCAGACAGGACATAGAAGCAGCCTAAACGCCCATCGACAGAGGAATGGACACAGATGTGGTACATATATACAATGGAATATTACTGTCATTAAAAAGAATGAAATAATGCCATTTGCAGCAACATGGACAGACCCAGAAAGTGTCATACTGAGTGGAGTAAGTCAGATAGAGAAGGAGAAATATCATGTGACATACTTATACTTAAGTATGTATAGTTCTTATGTATGTACATATGTACAAATACTTATGTATATACTTATGTACAAATACTTATGTATGTACAGTACATACTTATGTATGTATATTCCACATATACGTGGAATATAGAAAGAAACGATACAAATGAACTTACTTACAAAACAGAAACAGATTCACAGACTTCAAGAACAAGCTTATGGTTGCCAGGGGAAGGATGAGGGGAAGGGATAGCTAGGGATGCACATGTATACACTGTTGTATTGAAAGTGGATAACCAACAAGGATCAACTGTAGAGCACATGGAACTCTGCTCAGTGTTATACGGCAGCCTGGACGGGAGGGAAGTTTGGGGAGAATGGATACATGCATGTGTATGGCTGAGTCCCTTCACTGTTCCCTGAAACTATCACAACATTGTTTGTTACTCGGCTATACCCCAATACAAAATAAAAAATTTGTTAAAGAGTAGGTATATGTGTAACTGACTCACTTTGCTGCATAGCAGAAACTAATACAACACTATAAATCAACTATACACCAATAAAAATGATCACCCCCCAAAAAATAAGGGACTTCTCTGGCTGTCCAATTGTTAAGAGCCCACACTTCCACTGCAGGGGGTGCAGGCTTAGATCCCACATGCTGCATGGTCTGGTCACAATAAATAAATTTTCGAAAGCAGCAAGAGAAGGGAGTCTGTCCAACTGAACAGGGAAGTGGGGATGCATCTGAGGAGACAGGCCTGCGCTCTGACAGGTGGTTATGTGGCTAAAATCCCCACCCAGCCCGGAAGGCCCAGCACAGACACGGCCCCCCAGCCTCCTCTCCCACACTCATTTATTGGCTCTCCGTAATTTTATTCCCCGTTATTAAAGCAGGAATGGCTGGGTGGGCAGGAAGGCCGGATCCCCACGTCCTGGGGGCACTGCAGGCTGACTATGACTTTGCAGGCCTGGATCTGAACATCCTCCTCGGGGTGGATGACCAAAGCGAGCAGCCGGTCTGCCAGTCGTGAGTCGTCCCCAAAGAGAGCTTCGTGTAAAGACTGTTCGTTGTAATGCCACTTCACGGCGCGGTAGTGGGGTGAACTCCGGCCTTCGCTCAGCCGCTCTGCAAACACCAGGACCTCAAACAGCAGACTCCCAGGCTGTGTGGACTGGAACAGGTTCAGGAAGTTGGAGTGTACCTGTGAGCAGGATGCAGCGAGGAATCAAGTCCAAGGCAAGTTCTAAAGTTCCTCCATCCTCCTGCTGCCTCAGCTGCCCAATATACCTGAGTTTCAGATGTGACTGTGTCAGAATCTTTTGGTTTTCAATATCATTCTCTAACACAATTCCATTGTGGTCATAAAACATGAGTAATATGATAATATTGATTCAGGGAAGTTTGTTGAACTTTCTTTTAAAGCTTAGTGTGTGGTTAATATCTGTAAATATTTTGTGTACTTGAGAGGAATGTGCATGTACTAATTGTCAAGTGTTCTGGATATATCTAATGGCTTAAGCTTATTTGTGTTATTTGCAGCAGGTGTAACCTTACTGGTTTAAGATATTTATCTATTAATTGCTGAAACAATAGTTAAAACCTTCCAAATCTTCCACTGTGGTGGTAGATATGTCCTTTTTTCTTTATAATTATTCAGTTCTAAGAAGGAAATCCTGCTATTTGTGACATGATGGATGGACTCAGGGAACACTATGCTAAGTGAGATAAGCCAGACAGAGAAAGACAAATACTTCATAGTATCACTTACATGTGGAATATTAAAAAAAAAAGTCAAACATATAAACAGTAGGAAAGTAGTTGCTGGGGGCTGGGGTGGGGTGTGGGAAACAGGGAAAGGTTAGTAAAAGGGTACATGTGCTGTGCTTAGTCGTGTCCGATTCTTTGCAACCCCAGGCTCCTCTGTCCATGGGGATTCTCCAGGCAAAAACACTGGAGTGGGTTGCCATGCCCTCCCTCCAGGAGATCTTCCCAACCCAGGGATCGAACCCAGGTCTCCCGCATTGCAGGTGGATTCTTTACCACCTGAGCCTCCAGGGAGACCCAAAAGGGTACATACTTTTAGCTAAAAGATGAAAAAGATCTGAGGATCTAATACAAAACATGGTGACTATAGTTGATATTAATAATACTGTATTATAGAATTGAAATTAGCTAAGAGAATGGAACTTAAATGTTCTCACCAAAAAGAAACAAATACTTGAAGTGAGGGGATAGTTGTGTTAATTAATTAGATGGTAGGAATCTTTTCACAATGTTGTAATTTTCCCCTATTATTAAAATACCTAGACTAATTTGTGTCACCTGTGTTCCTGACTCTCAGCGTTCAGAAAGTCCCTCAAAGGAAAATCTGATTCTATTAAGAGGACAGGAGCAGGGTGGTTGGCAATATGTATCTAGTGCAGGGGCAGAAAGAGGAACAAGATGCTCTTATCAGGGCTAAGTCTGCCTGAAGAACCCACGATTCCTCCTTTCCCAATATCTGAGTTAGCACCCATCGGCCCGCCTCGCAGTTCCTTTCTCACGTGGCAGTTCAGAATATCATAGAGAAGGTCGTTCTTCTGTGCCAGGTTGCTCAGCAATCGTATGGCTTGCACCTGAACAAAGGAAAGGGTCACACGTGAGAAGGCAGGTGGGCCTGAGCAGGGATGACACAAATCTCTGCTCATCCCTCTAGGCGTTGTGCCAGGGCCGGGCAGGGGGTCGGAGCCTGGGCCCCCGTCCTCAGGCACCTGTGCCAGGATATAGTCCGACTGCAGAATCTCCATCAAGGCAGGCATCACCCGTCGCAGCTGTGGATGCACAAAGTCAGGCAGCGGGAAGTTGTTGAGGAGCCTGAGGCCTGCAATGTGCAGCTCTGAGTCCCAGATGGTGGAGATCAGTTCCAGCACCTTGATGGCGTGTTCCTGGGGAGGGGCGGGGAGAGAAGGGTTTCCTGCCTTCACAGGATGACCCTCAACATTAGCCCACCCTCTGCCTCCACTCATGACAACTGAGCCGACCCCACAGACAGTTCCCCAACTTAAACTCTCCCCATGGTTTGACCTAGTTGACCCCTCCCACCTCCTTGAAAATCTGTCTTCACTTGACTTCTCTGTCACAAGCTTCTTTCCCCAGTTCTTCTGCCAACCTCCTCTTCTGTCTTCCTCCCTCCCCTAGTGACACGGTGTTAAAGACTCACAGACTCAGTGTTAAAGACTATCCATATGCTGATGCCTTTCAAGTTCCTGTCTCTAGCCCAGACCTCTCCCTAAACTCCAGACTCATAGATGCAAGTGCCAATTCCACTTCTTTCCCAGAATCTTAATAAACCTCTGAGTTAACACATTCCCATCCCCACACCTGCTCTCTCCACCACCCTTCCTGTCTCCTCTGTTGGTTACACCTGCCTTCCAGTTACTCAGATCAAAATTCCCTGGTCTTCCTTGACTCCTTTCTTTCTCTCACACCCTTTTCTAATCCTTCAGAAAATCCTGCTGGCTCTGCCTTCAAAATCTACCAACAATCAAGCCACTCCTCACCATACCCCTTCCACCACCCTGTTCCAAGCCAGCAGCACCTGTCCCCCAGGTTTCTGCAGTAGCCTCCTCCTCTCTGCTTCCAGCCTTTTCCCTGCATCTATTCTCAGAACAGCACACGGGCTGGACATTCACTTCTCTGCTCCAGAGTCGCTGGTTCATTCAGGATAAAGGCTAAAAACCTTACAGTGGCTTACATGGTCTGATGTAATCTTCCCCTGTTCCCCCCATTACTTCTTTGCCTCATCTCCTATTCTCTCCTCTGCCCCCGTGGTTTCCATCACAATGGCCCCAGCCATTCCCTGAAAACACCAGGTACACACTTATCTTAGGGTCTTTGCACAGGCTGGTCCCTCTGCTTAGAATGCTCTCCCTCCAGATATTCATAGCTCACTCTGACTCTTACCTCCTTCGAGACTTTGCTTTTAATGTCGCCTTCTCAGGGGTGGGGGCCTTCCCTGACCACTCCCTCCTCTAAGATGAGAACACCACTCCCATCCCTGCCTTCCTTATCCACCCCCCTTTAATTTTTCCCTATACCACTGTCACATGGAACACACTTTTTGTTTCTAAATTTTTATATTCAAATGATTATAAGTTCACTAGAAGTTGCAAAAACAGAGAGGTCTCTATGTGCCTTCCACCCAGTTTCCCTCCATAGTTACATCTTAAATAATTACAGTATCAAAACCAGGGAAATGGTATTAGTACAATGTATATGTATAGTTCTGTGTCATTTTATCACACATGTAGATTCATGTAACCACCACCACAGTCAACAAATTATTCCATCAGAATCACCACAGATCTTATTGTCACACTTTACCCCTGCCCATCAAAACCAGCCCTCATCTGTTTTCCACCTCTCTGATTTTGTCAATTTTGAGGTTATATAAATGGAAGCATATTTTGTAATCTGAAGCTGATGTTTTCCACTCAGTATAATGCCCTTGGGATCCATCCAAGTTGTCGTGTGTATCAATAGGCCATTCCTTTTCATTACTGAGTGATGTTCCATAGTACTAGATTACCAGTTTACTTAGTCATTTATCTACTAAGAGCCATTGTGGTTATTTCCCCTTTTAACTGTTACAAATGAAGCTGCTGTGAACAGGTTTTTATACTGATGTAAGTTTCTATTTCTCCAGGATAAATGCTCAAGAGTGCAATTCCTGGTTTGCATGGTAAATGTAGAGTTTTTTGTTTTTAAACTACCAAACTATTTTCCAGAGTGGCTGCTTTACCATTTTACATTCCCACCAGCCACGTATGAGAGGTTTGGTTTCTCTCCATCTTCACCAGCATTTGGTACTGTCACTAATTTTTTAGTTTAGATCATCTAGTAGGTATATAGTAATATTTTGTTGTGGTCTTAAATTTGCATTTCCCTAGTGTCTAGTTAGGAGAAGGCAATGGCACCCCACTCCAGTACTCTTGCCTGGAAAATCCCATGGAGGGAGGAGCCTGGTGGGCTGCAGTCCATGGGGTCGCTAAGAGTCGGACACAACTGAGCGACTTCACTTTCACTTTTCATTTTCACACGTTGGAGAAGGAAATGGCAACCCACTCGTGTTCTTGCCTGGAGAATCCCAGGGACGGGGGAGCCTGGTGGGTTGCCGTCTATGGGATCACACAGAGTCAGACACGACTGAAGTGACTTAGCAGCAATAGTGTCTAGTTAAATGTTAAACATTTCTTCATGTGCTTATTTGCAGTTGTATATCTGCTTCAGTGATATATTTCCATATCTTGTGCCCATTTTCTAACTGGATTTTTTAAAACATTGAGTTTTCAGAGCTCTTTATATAAACTAGATACCAGTTTGTGTCAAATATGTGGTTTGCAACTATTTTCTTTCAATCTGCAGCTTATCTTTTCATCCTCTTAACAGGGTCTTTCACTAAAAAAAAGTTTTTAATTTTGATGAAGTTCACCATTTTCCTTTTATGGATTGTGCTTTCAGTGTCATTTCTATGACCTCTTTATCAAGCCCTAGACCCAAAAGATTCTCTCCTTTGAAATTGCAGCATTACCCTGATGTCAGCCTTCTTTACCACTCTTCTTGATTTTTCTCAATAGCATTTGCCCCCATGAAACACTATATGTTTCACTTAGGGTTTTTTTTTTTTTTAAGATTTTTGTTTATTTTTAATTGTTTTTGGCTGCACTGGGTCTTTGTTGTTGCCCTCAGACTTAGTTGCTTCATGGGATGTGGGATCTTCCCGTACCAGGGATCGAACCTGTGTCCCAGGCATTGCAAGGCAGACTCTTAACCACTGGACCACAAGGGAAGCCCTCATTTATTTGTGTATTGCCTGCCTTGCTTTCTGCTAGAATTTAAGTTCGCTTGGGATAAGGTTCCTTCTTGTTCCATTCCCTGTTGTATCTCATACGCCTAGCACGGTGCCCCAGCATGAAGGAGTGCTCAATATACATCTGTTGAATGAAAAAAGGGATCTTGGCTTCTGAGCTGCAGATGCTTGGGGCTTATTACCAAAGGCAGGTACCTTACAAGCTATACCTTTGCAAGTCACGTAAGAAGGACACCAGAAGCCTGGAGTGGGAAGCACAGATTTCCCATTAGTACCCTGCTCCTTCCTGCCCTCATCCCTCGCTGATTGCTGAGATCTGAAGGTAGGAGTTAGCAAATCTGGGGTGGCGAGCTCCATTTGGATGTTGGGTCAGAGGGTCTCCAGACTAAGTGGAACAGCTGGCCATGGGTCTGGAGGTCAAGGGAGCCTGCAGGCTTTAGACAGAGACACAGGAGAGCACATCTAGGTGGAAACTGAGGCTAGGGAGTGGCCGCTTTCACCCAGAGAGTTAGGTCCTCAGGATACAGACCCTGGGAGAAGAAAGGAACAGTGGTGCCCATGCCACTTGCATTGGAATCTCCTGAGGGGCTTATGAAAAACAAAACTACCCTGTTGAACTGGTTCTCTGGGTGGAATGCCCTAAAAGCTTCATTTTTAACCAGCTTTCTTGGCAATTCTGATATGCATGAGAATCACAGCCTTAGGACAACTGAGAGGGCTCAGAGATGAAGTAGAAGCAGCCAGAGAGTGGAGAATTCAAAACCTTTTTTTCCTCCAAAGAAAGTCTGATGCAAAAAATTTAAAGTGTGAAAAGACCAAGTGTTGGGGAAGAAATGATGCAACAGAAACGCTCATGTGGGGCTGGTGGAAGGTGTAAACTGATTCAGCCCTTCTAAAAAAGTTTGGGCATGCCTTTCACCTGACCATCCCACAACTGCATATAGGCCTTAGAGAAAGTCTCCCATGTCCCAAGGGTGATGCATACATGAATGCTCATGGCACCATGTGCAATCGACTCAAATACCTACCCACAAGCAACTGGATAAATAAAACTGCAGGATATTCATGAACTACAATACTACACAACAGTGAAAAAGAAACAGAGCAGTCCCTATCAATAAGGATGAACCTTTCAATGTTGGAGGGAAAAGACAAACCACAGAATGCAAACTGCGGACTTTCAGATCCCTGAAGCATAAAAACATTCCAATTATATTTTACCTATTTTTACCTGCTGCTGTGGCCTGCTAGAAAATGATAACACATGCATACATGATAAAACTACAAAGACAATCAAGAAATTGATGAACAAAACGCAGAGGAATGATTGCCTCTGGTGGGGGAGGAGGCTGGCATTAAGGAGGGGCGTCCAGGGGCATCTAGCCAATTGGTCATGTTCTATTTCTTAGCCTGAGTTCTGATTATGTGTGTTCTGGTTTTGTTTTAAATATTTATTATTGATTTATTTGGCTGTGGCTGGCACAGGGATCTTTAGTTGCCGCATGTGGGATCTGGTTCCCTGATCAGGGATCGAACCTAGGCTCCCTGCATTGGGAATGTGGAGTCTCAGCCACTGGACCACAAGGGAAGTTCTGGTGTTTTATTGTTACCAAACACGCATAAAATGTTCCCATGTTTTGAATATTTTAGCCATTTTTAAGTAAAATATTTTGGGAGAGATCATTTGCTAGAGAGAGATTAGAGGTCATTAGAGGTCAAGGAAGATGTTTTCTGGTTTTGCCTTTTAAGATGGAAGGAATAGAGCCTGTTGAATCTAATGGGAAGGAGCCAGAGGAGGTTATACAAGACAGAGTTTAATCAAGGAGGGGGCCCTCGGGGAGGGGGATGCAGGACTGAGATGATCGTTGAACACAGGCAGGAAGAAAGCCTTTTTTTTCATGGCACCAGCAGGAAAGCAGCAAAGGATGAGTAACAGATAAGCCTGAAGGCCTAGCAGCAGGAAGCTGGGGGAACTGACATTTGGTGGCTTCTGTTTTCTCTGCATCGTAGTAGTGAAAACATTAGTGGTCCAGCCACCAGCCCTAGACCAACACAGCCTGGGGTGTGGTCTGACAGTATATCTGTTTTTTGTCCCTGATTGCAGGCACAAGGTTCCTAAAATCCTTGCAATTTCCTGCTAGGAGTGTTTTTGGTTTTTATAATGAGCCTCTTTCCATCACCCCTGAATTTATGCTAATGAGGCAACTCTAGGCAGACCCCTAGCTTCCTGTTGGATGAGGCCAGAAAGACCCAGCTCGGATTAGGGGGCTGGAACGTTCACCCCCATACCTGACCTCTGGGGAGAACGGTGGGGCTAGAGACTGAGTTCAATCACCAATGGCCAATGATTAATCAATTATGCCTACATAATAAAGCCTCCACAAATACCCCTACACGACAGGGTTTGGAGAACCCTGGGTTGGTGAACATATCGCGCTTGGGTTGATGAATATACCGAGGTGCTAGGAGGGTGGCAGGCTTGAAGAAGGCATGGAAGCCCTTCCCCCACATTCTGCCCTTGCACCTCTTCCATTTGGCTGCGCCTCAGTTGTATCTTTTTTCCCCCCTTGGCTCCGAAGTGTGTGGCATGTGGGATCTTAGTTCACCAACCAGGAATCGAACCTGTACTCCCTGAATTGGGAGCACGGAGTCTTAACCACTGAACCACCAGGGAAGTCCCTCCTCAGTTGTATCTTTTATAATAAACTGTAAGTAAAACATTTTCCTGCATTCTGTGACTCTTTATAGTGAATTATCAAGTCTGAGGAGAGAGGTCATGGGAACGTCCAACTTTACAGCTGGCTGGTCAGAAGTGGGAGACAGTCCTATGGGACTCAGCCTTCAGCGGTGGGGTCTGTACTAACCCCAGGGAAACTTGTCAGAGCTGAACTATAGGACACCCAGCTGGCGTCAAGAGGGTTGGCTAGTGTCAGAAAGAGCTTCGGGGGTTTCTGTTTGCAGTTCAGAGATTCTCCAAGGGATTGAGTTCAGTTTTATCCTGGGATTCAAAGACTTTTCTGCCCCATTAGGAAACTGATCACCATTTTCCCACCAATTTCCAAGGAAAAACATATTTCTGGCTTACAAACTCAGATGCAAACAGACTTCTGGAACATGACCATTCATCCTAGGCCCACTGAAGGGCCCACGGCCTATGGATATCCCGCGTGCTCTGCCCCACCCTTATTGCTAGGCTCACCTGGATTTTGAGCCTGAATTTTCTGATGCCAGAGAAAGCTTTAAGTGTGTTCAGGGCTTGGATTTTGACACTGTTGTCCCTGTCATCCAGCATGGAGCCCACCAACGTGACGTCATCGTTAGTACAAGCAGAGGCCTAGAGCGTGCCAGGAGAGATGGAAGAGGCAGGAGAAGCGGGTGTCCTGGTGCCCCTCCACACACGCCCTGTCACCGAGACCCCTCAGCACAACCCCTCCCACCATGAGAGAGACAGGTCCCAGGACACAGTCTGGCTAGTCAGCGGGGTGGGGGGCGGGGACCGGTAGCCCCCAGGGGGCAGGCTGATGGGGAGGGGTCTCCTGCCTCCCTGCCCTCACCTCGGACTCCAGCAAGTACACGCAGCGCGTGATGCTGTGTAGGATCATGCTCTTGGTGTACGCATCCTGCTTGCACTCCAAAGAGTTGAGAAGCCTCCGGAGCTCACCTGAGTGCCGCCCGTGTCGCTCTCGCTCGATTGCCAGGCCTAGACAGCCACCCCAGACCGGTTCAGGCTGTGGACTCAGAGGTGATGAAAGAAGGGGATTGGGAAGCAGGGCAGAGGGACCTGGGAGACAAGGCTGCCTTGCCTTTTCTGAAGAGAAGACTTCCTGCCATATGCAGGACCACCACGTGCAGTTGATCAGGGTGTGCACTGCACAAGGGCACCACATCTAATGCTGCATCATTCATATCATAAACAAAAATGTTTTGTACCTTTACCATAACAACTTTCTGGCATATGGCAGTCATACACCATGTTTCATCATAACTGGTATACGGCAATGATATTCCAGCAGGTGGCAACACAAAGTCTTGCAGAAAGGGTTTCTTTCTCAACTTTGCACTGACTGAGCGATCACAGAGGTCAGTGGAGGCCCTGGGCACATAGGTCCCCCGGTTTTCCCTTGGGGAGAACTGCTGATACCAAGTTTCTATCCATCCTAGATGCCAGAGTGAATGCAGAATTTAGGAACCTGCCAGATGACTCCTGAGGATGCACCTGAGTGCCATCCACTACCTGGGCACCCTGCTCCAGCATCTCTAGAGTGGGTCTGGGGAAGATGGAGGTGAGAAAGAGGCATGAGAGAGGAATATGGAGGAGTCCCCTTGCACCCCTCCAACACCAGAGACCTGGGGAATAGGTACCTCCTGGGGCCAAGCCCTCTCCCCAGGGCGGGGACACTCACGGGCGATGCAGATGGGTGAGGCAGAGCAGAAGGGTGGCTGACATTTTATGCCAGCCTTGATGGCCTTGTAGAGGAGGTAGATGGCTCCGGCGCCTGTGGCCAGGCTCACCACACCTCTGCGGATGTCCATTTGCCCCGGGCACTGGCGGATGCAGGACATGCCCGAGGCACCCAGCGAAGGCCTTCCGGAACCAGAACTCCAGCAGGGCCAGGAACCAGGGCACCAGAATCAGAACATGGGCAACAAAGGGAACTGGGGAAACAGTAGGATGGAGGGTGGTGGTCTGGGAACAGGGCAGCCAGGGAGCTTCGGAGGCTGCGCGAAATCAAGTTCAAGACTCCAGGGAAACAGAAGGTCTGGGGCAGGAAGGTCCTTCACAGCCTCCATTTTTAGGGGACCCAGGTTGGTGGGGCCCCAGCAGCCAGCTCCAGAGGCTTCCTTTCCTCCATTAGAGGGCAAAGTGAAAAGTGAAAATGAAGTCGCTCAGTCGTGTCCAACTCTTTGAGACCCCATGGACTATACCTGCCAGGCTCCTCCATCCATGAGATTTTCCAGGCAAGATTACTGGAGTGGGTCGCCACTTCGTTCTCCAGGGGATCTTCCCAACCAGGGATCGAACCCAGGTCTCCTGCACTGCAGGCAGGCTCTTTACCGTCTGAGCCACAAGGGGGCTTCACCATTAGAGGGCAGCAGAGACCCAATTTCTGGAAGTTTGCTGCAGAGGTGGGGTGTCGGGGTTGGGGGTGCTGGGATGTGGCCCCTGGCAGCCCTGTTCCCTCACTTGCCTGGCCCTCCCATCTTTGATCTTTTCGCCATGGATCCACTTCTGGGCCTCGGAGTGTTTCTGTAGGCAAGGGCCACCCTTTCCATCAGAGAATGAAAAGATGACAAACACCTTACAAAGTTTTCCAGAGCCTCAAGGCAAATCCATTATCTTCCAGCATCCACATGTTCCCCTCAGTGTTGAGCAAAAGCTCATAAGGGCAGTTATCTCTGCATCTCCAACATCCAGCAGAGTCCTGCACTTAGGAGATGCTCAAGTTATGACTTCTGTTACTCCTTGAGGATGGGAGGACAGAACAACGTCAGAGAACCTGAATATGGGGATGCCAGGCCCATTTAAACAGTGTGTCTCTGGAGGAGAAGGGGCCCTTGCCTTGATCATTTGTAACCTGAGAGGACCCAGGTTTAGCATTCTAAAACTTCAGGGTTAAAACCTGGGTGGGTCTGAGCCATTAAACCATGGAGGCCTGAATCTGGGAGTATCGCACCCCATCCCTCCACCCCCCAACAACATACACACACAGGGTGGGATGGGGTTGGAGGCCTCTGAAAAATGCCGCCACCCTGGAGGAAGAGAACCCAGCTTTAGAGGCCTCAGTCTCCACCACCTCCACCACTAGGATGGGGCAGGTGAGACCAGACCCTTCCCTCCTCCTCCTCCCCGCACCCCCAGTGTCCCGACAGCCTCTGGCCTCACCTTCTGGTGCAGAACAGGGAGGAGCCCAAGGCAGGCTCAGGCCCAGAGTCAGCACTGAGCATGGCTGCCCCAGAACAGGGCTTCTCCTGCCTGGCCTTGAGCTCCTGGCGGAAAGCTTGGGACCCTGGGCTGCTGCATCTGGGCTTGCAGGCGGTGTGGAAACATCACCAAGGATGCTGCAGCAGCCAGCCCGGTCTGTCCACTCAGAGCCTTCAGCCACATCACCCCAGGCTGCAGGCAACACTCCCGGGGGGCCATTCTCTTCCATCCTCGGCCCTCCTCAAGGGTCATTCCTGGGCCTCTACACAGCCCCAAGGTGGGTGTATGGTCAGGCCATTCAAGATGGCTGTTCTCTTGCTCTTTGTACTTCTCTTACTCTACCTGTCCCTTCTTTAAAAAGAAAAAAAAAACTTGGCCGCCCCCGGTCTTACTTGCAGCACGGGGGATCTTCCGTCTTCGTTGCATGAGAACTCTTAGTTGTGGCCTGTGGGATCTAGTTCCCTGACCAGGAATTGAACCCTGGGCCCCCTGTGTTGGGAGCTCAGAGTCTCAGCCACTGGACAACTGGGGAAGTCCCTTGACCAGTCCCGATTTTGCCTGAACCCTACTCACGTGACCACGTTTGCCCCCTGCCCCAGCTAATGGCTGATCTCATCCCTGCTCTACCTGCTAATTTATTAAAGGAAACATCTGCCCTCATGATGGTTCTTAACTGAGGGGCTGTGAGGCACATGCCCCAGCTGGTTTCCTTGGTAACTGACGAGTCAACCTGACCTCAATTCCACCTACAAGTAGTAGTCTTCTTCTACCCCGAGTGGGGAGACTGCTGTGACGGCCTGCCCACTGGAATCCACGGGTTACTGCTCCAGGACCTTTTGCTTAAGACCAATGCCAACCCCCTCCCCAAACCTCCGGTCCAACAAACCACTGAGGTCTCCATCACTGTCTCCAGACTGTTTCTTTGGTCTTGAGGTGGGGCAAGCACAAAGCTTTCAGGACTGCCGGGTGCAGCCCAATGACTGGTCAGCCGGCCTGGAGGCCAAAGAAACACCCAAGATGTCGAGAAGTCAAGGATGGGGAACGGGAGGTCGCAGGCATGATCTCGAGGTTGCCGTCCACCAGCAGGTGGGGCCCTGTGGCAGCTGACTGCCATGACAGACGTCTTTCTCTTCCATTAAGTTGATTCTCTTCCACTCTGGTGACCTCGGAGTCCCTGTTTTCAGTTTAAAAGCAGCAGCCCTATGCCTGTGGCTCATCTGACTGCATGAGGATGGCTGGTGAATACAGACAAAATGCAAGGAAGTGGATGATCTACAAAGGACAAGCATAGCTCAAACCTCTCACCACTAAATTACAGACACAGGCTCTAGGGGATCTTAATTCGGGGACAGGTTTGTGAATTGGGCGTGGCCAAAAAGTCTGGTTGGGGCCTGTGACAACAAAATAAAGAGTACCCTTGGGCTTCTGGTCCCAGCTGTGGAAGGGGGCAGAGCAATGATACACACCATGAAGGGACAACAGCCATGTGCAGCTTACACTGCAAAAGGCTTACCTGAGTCTAGCAATGCAAAAATCCACTATTTGGGGTCTAGGATAGCTGTGTGTGAAATACAGGACCCCCACAGACATTGATAATGACCAAAGACTCCACTTAACCAGCCGCGAAGTTCAGGAATGGGCTGATAAAAATGACACACACTGGCCTTACCACTTGCCTTACGGCCATCCCTCCGCCGACTTCGACCGGGCTAATGGAAAAGATGAAAGAACTTAACAACTGAAATGGAAACCCTTCTTTCCACAGGTGGATCAGAGGCTAACTTAAGCTCTAAGAACTCAAATCGAACGTCTCTGGGGCAATCAGGCCAGGGCTATGTTAACCCAGATGTGACTAATCAATACAGTCTGAGCTTAACTGTTGACCGCCTAAATATGAATGCCAACTATCAGGACAACCACTTACCTTTGCTCTCGCCACAGGATCTTACCCCCAGAGGAACACATTATCAAATGACCTGGGGACTGGCAGGTAAGTTCCCTGGTGGTTTGGGTTTGCTGCCTCGTGGGGAGTAGGATTGGCAAGGGAATTACAGATTTCACCTAGATTTATACTAGACCCACCTAAGACTACTAAAGTAATTAATCCAGCTCCTAATGGAGAAAAAGTGCCATTATACCCACCCACCCGTCTTCAGCACCATGAATGTCTTTGCTGCTGTCCTAGGCTCTTTGGTCTCAAGGTTGGGCAACTCTGAGGCTTACTGGAGGTGCAGCCCACAGTGGATGACTACACGGACTCCCGCAGTGAAAGGTAACAGAGGCCGCTGCAGCCCCCTCCTTCCACGGCCATGGGACCACCCACCAGGCTCCATGAGCTCTGGGCGGGAAACGGCTGCCTGATGGAACTGCTCTAGGTTCCGACTCCCCTGGTGGATCCGAGGAGAGGCCCTTCAGAACAAAGTTCCAGCCTTCTTCTGAGGGGGACCCAGGGCTACTGGCCCCCTCAGACTATAGAGCTGACCCCACAACCCTCACATCCTAAACAAATGCAGCTGCTCACCTGCTCTTTAAAGCTCTCCAAAGATGCGGAGTTCTTTCTTGACTCTAAGTTAATTCCTTCCTGCTATATCTAAGCTTTTTTTTTTTTTTGGTTCTGCTCTCAAATGATTCAGAGGGATCAGAAGCAGAGGCAGTCGCCCCATTATAAGTTTTTGCTAATCCACAGCACAATATAGAAGAAGGAAAATAAAAAAGAATTGTGTATTTGTTGGTAGAAAGTCAAGGACTGTTCTTTCTTGGGAGTAACTGCTTTTGATTCAGATGATGTCTGTCTTCTTTTGAGGAGAATTAAAATATATTTGCTTTTGTGCATGGTGACAACACATGACAGTGAGTGTTCTTGGGGAACATAAATGAAGGCTGCAGCTCTCGGTGAGAACCTGGGTTTTGGTTCTTTTCCCCTGTCAAATCCCCAACCTTGGAATACTAGCTAGAGAGAAGTCCGAGATGTCATAAACACACACAGCTAACCCCAAGTTTCTTACCTGCCCTCACCAAGGCAAAAGGATACAGGCTGCCCTAGCACACCTCTTTGCCATCTGCACCAGCTTTCCACCCTGAAGGCTGCTGCTGTGCCCACCATGTTGTTCAGTTGCTCAGTCGTGTCTGACTCTGCAACCCCATGGACTGCAGCATGCCAGACTTCCCTATCCGTTGCCATCCCTGGAAGCTTGCTCAAACTCATGTCCATTAAGTCAGTGATGCCATCCAACCATCTCATCCTCTGTTGTCCCCTTCTCCTCCTGCCTTCTATCTTTCCCAGCATCAGGGTCTTGTCTTCGAATTAGGTGACCGAAGTTATTGGAGCTTCAGTATCAGTCCTTCCATTGAATATTCAGGGTTGTTTTCCCAACATGTTAGGTGAAATTTATTGAGTGAGTGTGGGTTCAACCAAGATTTCCTGCTCAGTTACTGAGTTAGCTTTGTAATCTTTTTTGTGCCTCATTTTCCCCACCTATAAAATGGGTATAAAACCTACTTCTTGGGTTTATCAGAACAGTGCTCAGCACACAGAGCTCACCAAATGTGACTATAATAATTTCGATTATAAGCAGGCTTCCCCTTGGACAAAAATGTCAGGTGTGGGAAGGAAGTAAGCACACGGTTGGTTGGCCTCTATGAGGCCTGAAAGGTACATTATTCAGCCCCTTCCCTTATCCTCTATCCCTCCCCCTCTGGTCGTCTTCAGGCTAATCAATGTCAACTCCTGTAA